TAATTTTTTACTACTGTTTGGACACTGAGATAGGTTTGTATGAAATAACAATCGTTTTAATTGTGGAAAATGTTTGCAAACAGTTTCAAGTGTTTCGTTAAGATCTTTAGCCAATTTAAATGATAATTGAAGTTCAAGACGTTTAAGTTGACGACAATTATTGGTACCAATTGTTGCCAAATCGGGTATAAAAGTTGTATTAATAAAACTATTGAAATATGAATTAATAGTCAATTGTTTTAATTGTTTGATTTGTGACACTGATATCAATAGAGATTTATCTAATAAATTGTTGTCACAAAAGTTAATATCAATTACGGAAATATTTTTGCCTTAAGTATTGCAAAACCGTTTGAAACTTTCAATGTTTGCCGAATACATTAGAAAACTTAGTTTTCGTAGTTTCGGAAATAATATTTCATTATTATTGTTATTATTATTATTACTACTAATATTATTGTCGTCATTGAAGAGCACCTGTAGTGTATCGACTGTCGGTGTAAAACAGTTTCTGAATATAATCTCCGATAAGTTCAGACATTTCTTGAGCTGAACGGCAATCTGTTTGTCGATTCTGTATAAAGCTATTGATTGTAATTTTTGGCCATATTTTTCAAGCAATTGTACAACAATTGAATTGTCAGTACTGGGCGTCAATTTAATTGATCGGATATTTAGATCATATTTTAGCCACAATTCATACTTGATTTTTACTAATCTCTGATTAAACGGTGTTTCCGTTAATTTTTTCATTAATTTTTCATAATTTTTAACACAAAATCTATTTTCTTCGGTAAATATATTTTTCTGAAACACCAATCGATGCCATTGTCGGGACACACACTCTAAGCGAAAGCGGTCATCAATCGGTAGATAACTGACTACTAGTCCACACAAATCATCGCCAAATCGGTCGCCAAAACTATCTCTACTCTGACGACGACTGTCCGGTCCGTCGTCTCTATCCATCTCTTGTAGCAAAAAACAAAGTCTTCAATCAAAATATTTTTTAAATATTTTTTTAATAAATTATTTTTTTTTAAATAATTAATTTTACGAAAATCAGTTATAAATTATATGTATTCAAACTTTAAACTAAACTTATAGTAATGTTTTTGTTAATAATAATAATAAATGTTTTTGTTATTTACTCAAAACCTGTTTAAAGTACTGTAATTTCAGCAATTTATATATCGTTTACATATTTTAAAGGATATATAAGGGATTAAAATGATATTTTTAACATAAGATTAAAACAATGATAACAACTACAGTATAATACAGTATTAATGTTAATAAATAGTCTAATTTTTTTGTGATAAATTTATTGTTATTTTACTGGAAATATTCAATTATTGTTGTTTTAAAAAAATTTTATTATTATTCTGTAATTTATTTGTTTATAAGTTATAAATTATAACTAATATTTGCTAATATTTTTATATGAAATAAAACTTTTATTAGCAAAAAAATATATCATTTTTAATTATTAAGTTTAATTTCAATAACTAACAAATTGTTAATAATTAAGATTTTAATTTTTTTTTAAAAATCATTCTCTGAATTTTTTTTTAAATTTTTAAATATATATTTTGTTGATATCATATGATTAAACACAATACCAAAAATTTTTTTATTACATTTATGAAAACTATCTGTAATTATCAAAATATAATATAACACTTAAAAAAAATTAATTTCAAATGATTTTAAATTGATATTAATATTTTGTGATAAACTAATTATATTTTTGTTTTGTTTTGTTTTCTAATTATAAAATATTATAAGTCATTATCTACTGAAAATTAATTAATTAATTATTATTATTATATATTTATTATAATAAATTAAATAAAAATGATAAAATAAAAATATTATTTTACAGTATAAGTTTAAACTACAAATTACAGTCAATATATTAGAAATATTATAAATTGTATAATCATATACAGTATATATATATATTATAAATAATTATTATAAACTAACTATTTTTGTTATTTTAATTAAAATTATATTTAAAAAAGTTATTTAGGAATTAATAAATTTATAATAAATACAGTATAACACTATATATATATATATATATATATATATACAGTATATATGAATAGTTTATTAGCAGAAAATGTGAGACAATAGGAATTGAAAGCATTGTTTGTATTAAAATAAACTATTGGATTATATTCTAAACCAAAACAATAATATACGCACCACAACACACACACACACACACACATAGATATATCATATATCATAGATTACACTTAATATATATATACATATAAATAAAATAGTGTGTATAGTAACTATGTTAACATATAGTCTATGCTTTGTAAAAACTCCACCCACCCCACCCCACACCCCCTAAGCATTAAACACTAATATTGCGCCCGCTTTATACATACACTACTGTATGTTTGTAGTGGACGTCTATTTTAATGTTTTGGTTTTGAATATAATCGAACAGTTTTTATTAAATATTAAAAAAACAGTTTAATATAAAATAGAATTCAATGAATACTTGTATTTCAATCAATCAATTGATTAGTGTTTTCCATAGTTTTCATAACAAAAACACATAAAAAACAAAACAAAATATTTATTAATTGTTTTGTGTTTTCAATTCATTACTAAATAATAATATTATTATTAAAATCACTAATTGTTTAATCAATTTGTTAGTTAAAAAAAACACTAATTATTAATACATTTGGTTTGCCATTGATTTTCTTCACTAATAATAATAATTATTATTATTGTCTTTCAGTTTTTGTTGGCATCAAATCAAGCGATGAGTTTGTCGTCATCGATGGCAAAGAAGATAAGCTTAAGAAGTGAATCGTCGAGAAGACAATCGTTTGATCGTTTTGGCGATGATTTATGTCAACAGTTGTTGTCTTATCTGAGATTAGGAGATAAGTTAAGACTTGAATCCGTATCAAAACAATGGCAACGATTGGTATTTGAAAGCCATAACTATATTAATTATAACGAATTATTTGATTATATTTACGACTATAAAGTAATTAAAGAAAACAAAAACAAATACAATAAAAATCTGGAAAAGATTATGAAGAAGTTAGTCAACAAACCATTCAGTGCCACAATCAGTACATCCGATACTAAAACAATCAATTCGTGGCTAAAATATAATTTCGAGAAATCAAACATTGATTTACTGATCAGTTATACGAGTCAAAGCAAAACATTAAAACAATTGTTTGCAAAATATGGGAATCAATTGAAAAAGATTACAATCTTCAGAGTCGACAAATTGGTTAGCAATGAACTGAAAAAGTGCCACAACTTAACCGACATTAAGTTTGAAGACATTTCATCGACAGTTCATTCGTTATCACTACTATTCAATGATATCAATAGCACTGAAGTATTGTTTCCTAAATTACGGAAAATAAGTTTTCCATTTAATTTTGCAAACAATGAATTGGTTAACCAAAGTATTGTAAAGTTTACCAAAATTTATGGCCAAATGATTTCAGTAATCAATGTATTTGTTATGCGTACAGACTATCGACCAGTTTTGACACAAATTGCACAACAAATGTCACAATTAAAACAATTAAGATTTAGTTTAACCGGAAGTTATATTGATTTCACAAACGATTATTTAGTCAAAATTGGTACCAATTGTCAGCTAATTAAACGACTTGAACTATCCGTAGATTATCAATCGGTTCAAGTGTTTAACAAAACATTGGAAATTGTTGGCAAAAATTTTCAACAATTAAAATGGTTAGCAATTCATCCAAACTTTAGTTACACAGAAGTAAATGCCGACGACATCGATGCCAATGGATTTGAAATATCAAGCAATTCATTGACTAATCTGACAAAACTAACACATCTATCGTTGCAAACAAACAGTCGCTGGAATTTTAGTCCGGATTTTATGGATAATCCAATGAATTTCATACCAAATGTTTATTATCTACACTTTCGGGGCATTAATCTGACCGACCAGTTGGTGGACTGTTTGGCAAAACTAAAATATTTGCAGATATTAAGGATGCCATACATGGATATCAAACAAGAATTTAGTAAAGTAATAGCTATCGAACAATCGATTACTAGAAAACTAATCGATAATTGTCCTAAAATTAGGACAGTTTGGATAAATAATAGGATTAGTAATAAAATTTTTGTTAGTCATATGTATTAGTACTGTATATGTAGTAGAGTTAGAAAACAAAAAACAATTTAAACCGGTATTAATCCAATACTAAAATTTTAAACACAATTTATACGCATTTTTTAAAGATTTTTGTTTTGTTTTCAATTTTTCATTTTATTGGTTTTGATTTATAAAAAAAACAAACATTTATGTAACACTAATGAGTTTGCTTTTATTATTTTAAATAAGTTTTATAATATTTTACTAATTTGTTATTATTAACTGTAAGATTGATTGTTTTGTTTTGTCAATAGTTTGTCAAAAAAAATTTTTTTTGTACATTAGATATATTTTGTACCAATGGTTTGCAAATTTTCACGAAACTAATTGAAAATTGTCTGAAAATTATTTGATTTTTTTGTTTGGTTGTTGAGAAATAACAAACAAACAAATATCAGATAATATAAGATATTATTATTATTATTTTATCGATAATTTGAAACTTGTTTTTAACTTTTTATTATTTTTTTTATATATCTGATAATTTGTTAATTTTTAACTTTTAGTATTATTATTTTTTAACTTTTATTATTATTATTTTTTCTCAATTGACTTAATTTTCTTTTTAAACATACATTTAGAATAATTTTTTTTTGATTTGAATATTATTTTTAAAAAAATAAATAAAAACTAATGTAATATACAGTCTATAAAACTGTTGTAATAAAACAAAAAATTTCTAAATTGATTTTTTTTGGTACAAATTATTAATTATTTAATAATGAATTGACATTAAAAAAAATTTATTATTTTTTTGCTACAATTGTAAAATATTAATTGATTTTTTTTATAAATAAAAAACAAATTATTTAATTGATAACTCATAGTCCAGTACATCGGTGGCCATTTCGCCGAATGTTGTCCTCAATTGCCGTACATTTTGTTCGTCAAACTTAGATATTGGCGGTCGGCTACCATTGAGACACCAGCCAAGCGGCGACAGATAATTGTCTTTAATATTCAGATGAACCGTATAATAGATTTGACGCCAATCGGGTCGTAAGCGATGATACAGTTGCGGACATACTCGCGGACCGTCGCCGCCAAACTTGCCGTTTGCATCCTGAATCAGATCCGGCCGTTTCACTAATATCTCTTTAGTAGGCATTTCGCCCGCATTGTAATACCATTCCCAGGGATGATAATCACAGTAACACATTAGCCATAGTCTCAAAAAACGGGCCTTTCTATGGCCGACCATTGTCTGTGTGGCCATTACTTTGTGTTCGGTTGGCAAACCAAAGTCCCAGATTTCATAGTCCAGTGTCAGCTCGTAGTTGCGATACGGATCCAAACTGTTCACAACATAGACATCTCTGTCCAGATAAATGCCGCCAAACTCACGGAGCACTTGGAGTCGGCCGATATCTGATGCATGAAAATTGTGAAATATTAGACTCAACTGTTGGCCAAATATATGAGTCGGTCGTTGAATTTGTCGTACAATAAGCCGTGTAGTATTGGTCGCATTGGCCACTCGATTGATACGTTGCCAATAGTCACCCCGTAATTCATGACAATCGCAATGAATGTATAGACTATCGGGTTTCTGGTTTTTCAGTACCGATAATATCGACAAAAAGTGTACATAATTTATATAATGTGTTTTAAACAGTATATAGTGAACAATATTTGGCACTAAATATCCATCAGTTGATTGGCCATCAAATGCCGGCACACTTGTCGACCAATTGTGTCGATCAATGCATAGATGTTTTGGATAATATTGTCTATTGTTTTGGATGATATCCTCAATATTTTGTGTCCGCATAACTAATATAATGTAAATATTTATAAAAATTACTAAAACACTAAATAAAATACTAAATTTATATTTATTAATAAACATTTTTAGATTATATATAAATTATATACAAGACTATTAATTATTATTTTATTATTAATTATTTAATTAGCAGTATATATATATGTTTTATATATAAATATACAATGAATTAAACAGTTAGTAAAATATATTAAAATTGACATAAATTTGTTAAATCACTTTTTGTTTTAAAAATAAATGCTAAATCATAACTGTAATAATAATAATCATTAATTTTAATCAATTATTTAACTACACATGTGATCATAATTTTTTAAAAATATAATTATAAAATGTATTTTTTTTAATTAAATTAATTTAGTTTCAACTAAATCTATGATATATCCAATATTTTATATATAAGTTTACAATCATCTTTGTTATCAATATCCTCTATCTATTGTTTTCTTTTAGTTATCTTTTTAATATTTAATTTTTAATAAATAATATTTTAAATAACAGTAATATTGTAATTTATAACAATTTATATCATATAATATATTTTTTTTAAATTAGTTTAAAATGTACTTAAATTTTATATTGAAATACAGTATAAATTTGTGTATGAATTATGATTGACTTATATATAAAACATAATTAATAATTTAATGTGATTTATAATAATAACATATAATGAGTACAATAAGAAAAATATTAAATATATATTTTTTTTATACAGTATTGAAACATTTTTTAATTACTTTTAATTAATAATAATAATAATTTTTTTTAGGATTATTATAAATAAATAAATTTTATTTTTATATTGAAATATATCAGGTGTCAGTTAACTGTATTATAATCAATGCAAAACTATTGGTCAGTAAAAAAATTAATTTATATATTATCTGATCAATACTTTTGCACCAAACAAAACACAGTTTAGGAGGTACGGCACTTAAAACAACAACAAAAAAACATCCCGGCCCATAAAATAGACAGTCCCGATAAATAGATAGATAGATAGGCCATACCTATTATATTATACATAAAGTTATACATCAATATTAACGATTCATATTATTAATAGAAAATTAAAATTTTATATTATTATTAAATTAATATATATATATATATATATATATATATATATATATATATATTATATATATTATAAATATTGACCTATTTTTTTGGTTACATCGATGGCAACTATGCAGAGATGATAGGGTCTCCATTGGCCCAAAACAAACGGTATATATTATATATAACAAATAATCGGTGCACCGGTAGGTCCAGCAATGGGTACTACCAGCAGTTAAACCCGATATCTACCCGATTATTGTGTAAATTATTTAACAAATTTTTCAATTATTGATTCAATTTCTACGACTAGTTCCGGCAAAATGTTGGTCTCAGTTGTCTAGATATCAGCTCAACAGTAAAAAACAATACATTTGTAATAAACCATTTCCCAGACAATAGGAGTGGTTTCGGGACAATCAATGTAACCAATGTTTTCAAATAGTTTAGCGCAATATCCCAGTTGTCCACACATTAGCATACGGATGTCATTCTTCGAGTTAACAGTCCCCCTCCTCCCCACCCACCATACGATTAAACACCCATAACCACCCACACCCCACCCTCGTTAAACATATCAGTTTGGGACGGGAGGAGAGGGGGGGGGTTGCCATCCATTTCGCATTCTTAATTTTCATACTAATCTCTATCGAAAACTAAATGTTTTTAATAAAACCAAAATCTGATGCAACTTTTCTGACCAATAGTTTTGCATCGAACAACACCTTTGGGCACAGTTAGGTGCGGCGCCACCAAAAAAAAAATGACAGTCCGATAGGTATACCTATTGGTCTCATAACAGATATATATATATATAATTTTTAATGTATTATATTTATAAATAAAAAAATTATTATTCAAAATAAAATTTAAAAATAAATAATAATAATAATAATAATAATTACATTTTTTGCTGTATCGATGACGACAAACTTTAATATTTTAAAAATTTCAAAAATAATCGGTGCACCGGTAGCTTGAAAGCACACACACACACACCACCTATAAGTGTGAGTACATTCATATGTTTCATATGATTGAAGATTTTCAACCATAAGATATAATGTATTATTACTGTATATATACAGTATTATTAAATACTTAATACATTCATATATGTGTGTGAATCACTGTAATGTGTTTGAAGTATAACTAAATTCAATAAAAAAAAATTTTTTTTTTGCATATACAGTGTATAATGTTTCAAAATTATATAAATAAAATAATTGTTTTGTTTTAATACAATCATATCAAAGTTTAATCATTATTAAAATATTTCTAAATAATATCAATTTGTTTTTAAAATAATCATTAAATGTTTTTACGTATATATAAAGTCTGTGACAGAAGGGTGCGAACTGGTTTTTGCTTAATATCTCTATAACTAATTGAGCTAGATCAATAAAAATTTTATGAGAAACATGGAATCCTGGGACGTATAACTTAGTATAGTTAGTTTTTATAGATTTAAGCTTATGTAGCTAAGCACCGGTAGGTGCCATATCTCTAAAACTATAATAAATATCTAAATTCTGATAATGTGAATTTAAACTAGGTGAAAATTCATTAGACACGTGTTTCAGTATTTTTTTAAAAAATTAATAAATTTTAAACAAAAAACAAAAAAGTGTAAAATTTGTGATATTTTGATATTTTCTAGAAAAAAAGTGTCAAGGTATTTTGATATGAAATTAATCTATTATTATTTGTTATTTTATTAGGAATAATTATTCTATTTACAATTTTTAATTATCATGCTTAGTTTTTGAGATATTAAAGAAAAACATTTTTACCATTATATAATTTTTTCTTATAAAATTTTATTAATTATATTTGTTACTAAATTTATATAATGGTAAAAAGGTTTTTCTTTAATATCTCAAAAACTAAGCATGATAATTAAAAATTGTAAATAGAATAATTATTCCTAATAAAATAACAAATAATAATAGATTAATTTCATATCAAAATACCTTGACACTTTTTTTCTAGAAAATATCAAAATATCACAAATTTTACACTTTTTTGTTTTTTGTTTAAAATTTATTAATTTTTTAAAAAAATACTGAAACACGTGTCTAATGAATTTTCACCTAGTTTAAATTCACATTATCAGAATTTAGATATTTATTATAGTTTTAGAGATATGGCACCTACCGGTGCTTAGCTACATAAGCTTAAATCTATAAAAACTAACTATACTAAGTTATACGTCCCAGGATTCCATGTTTCTCATAAAATTTTTATTGATCTAGCTCAATTAGTTATAGAGATATTAAGCAAAAACCAGTTCGCACCCTTCTGTCACAGACTTTATTTCCATATATAATATTAAAATTACATGTATTTTGAGTACAGGAAATATATATATATATTTACATTAGAAATATATTGTATAAACAATAATAGTTTATTTTAATTAAAAGCAACAAAATATATACAGTATTATTCATACTTGAATTTCTAGATAAATCATATTTTAATTATTTAAAAAAATACAAAAATATTTTTGTTGTTAATCATATGTTTCCTATTTTTTAAACATTAGTTAATTAAATATATAATTTTTATATTGTAAACAAAATCAATATTGTATATTAAATGCAATCAATTTATTTAAATTATTATTATTATTTTGTATTATAATTGACTTATATATAAAAACATAATTAATAATTTAATCTGATTTATAATAACATAATGAATATAACAAACAAAAATATTAAATATATATAAATATCAATTATTTTATACAATATTTTATTTAAGTATTGTTTTTGATAGAAAGTATTGAAACATTTTTTTTATCAATTTAAAAAATAATGATGATGATAATTTTTTTTTAAATGATTATTATAAATAAATAAATTTTATTTTATTTTATTTTTTATATTGAAATATCAGGTGTCGTCAGTTAACTGTATTGTAATCAATGCAAAACTATTTGTCAGTAAAAAAATTTTATATTTGATATTATCTGATCAATACTTTTGCATCGACCAAAAAACAGTTTTATGAGGTGCGGCACTCCTAACAACCACAACAAAGAAACATCCCGGTCCACAAAATAGACAGTCCCGATAAATAGATAGATGGATAGATAGGCCAGTCATACCTATTGGAATCATACATAAAATATAAAGTTTTTTATCATATATTTAGAAAATTAAAATTATTATTAAATATATTATTAAATATATATTATAATTATTTGAACCTTTTTTCATACATATCGATGGCAAACATCAATAACATGCTTACGGTTAGGAAAAAAAACTGTCGACCAAACAGTTACGTGCGGCTAAATCCCGGTTCACAAAATCGCGGTCCGATAGATAGGACATACCTATTGTGCATATGATTTATATAAAAAATAAAAATTATATTTATAAATAAAAATTATCATTATATCGTAAAATTATAACAAATACTATATTTTTTAGTACAAAACCTTGTGCTATATATAGAGATGGGCAAATAGAAAGTTTCTAATAAATTTCCCTGAGAAAGTTTCTAGAAAGTTTCTCAGTAATAAATTTCTATAGAAATTTAACTTTTTTGTTATACTATGGGATCCCCATATCTATAGATATATTAATGAGACAATACTACTATACATATAATATTATACTATATAATGTAGATTACTATATAATACTATTATACAAATGGGATACCTATATAAATAATTATAATTATTTAATAATAATCAGTTTTGTAAAATTTTATTCACCATTTTATTATACCATAGTTAAATATAATTAAATTAATTAATTTTTTACTTTAATTAATAATTAAAATACTAATAATAATATTTAATATTACATATAAAAACAATGTTAAAGATAACAAATATCGAGAAAACAAAATTAACTATGGGGATCCCATAAATAGAAATTTCTTTTAGAAACTTTCTAGAAATT